GTGTGGTTGTAGAAAGGTGTTGCAACTTTCCATTTATGAAGATCTTGGAATGAGTAGTTTGAAGTAACTTTTATCAAAGCAAATTACTTGCAAAGAATCACTGATCAAAGTTTATTAGATTTTCCAAACTGGTGAATGTATGGTTAAAAATATTTTTATGGGTAAACAGACAATAAGGATATTTTTGTTTTCATTACGATATTTCTAGGATTATAATATATTATATTCTCTGCTATAAATTAAATAGACAACTTTTATGGGCATTTGATATCTTTTAAGTTAATTTTGATTATAGTTGTGGTGAAACTGGTGAATGTATGGTTAAAAATATTTTTATGGGTAAACAGACAATAAGGATATTTTTTGTTTTCATTACGATATTTCTAGGATTAATATATATTCTCTGCTATAAATTAGATAGACAACTTTTATGGGCATTTGATATCTTTTAAGTTAATTTTGATTATAGTTGTGGGTACTAAGTGCAGTGCAGTGCAGTGCATGTGTCTAAGTAGCTTTGAAGACCTGTGCAATGTGCCGTAACAAAAGAGAAAGGTGATATGAGAAGATGTGGAATAAAAGAGGGAATGGGATCTAGATGAAAGATCATGGAAAGTGCCCATTTCCTTCTTCCTCATTTTTCACTTTGTCACACTGATTGCCCACCTTGTCTCCATGTTTCTGTTCTCTATGCATGGTGTTGACTAAGACTTGTGCAACTCAGTATGATTTGATGGAAGTTTTTTTTGTTGTATTTTGCTAGCATGAGGTGAGATTTGTTATTTATATGTTTGCATCAGTCTGTTGGTTTTTTGTTGTTTTTGGATGCTGTAATAGGCTATTATATACTTTTTGCTACAAACTTTTAGATTGATGTGGTCATTATGTGACTAATTAGTTCACAGGAAATTTATGTCACACAATCATAGCAAAAGGGTATATAGAGGTGATGATAATTTTGCAAAAATATATTTAATTTTACACAGTCTTTTTTTATTGCATCAGGTGATGTTGTATTCTAAGGGGATAGGGAATGAGGGAAAAGGTTGTTTACAATTCTTTTTTTTTTTTTTTTAACATAGTCGTCAACTTCCTCATATGAAAGCCAGTGGGTTACAGTTTCGAGAGCCAGAGATTAAAAAAAATTAGCAAGGTTAACTAAAGCTAAACAAAATGGCTACTGTGATGGGCTGGCTTGCATTTTGTAGACACTGACCTATTCCATAGTATACTATCTCTGACGGGAAAATAATTTGTGATGAGAATTCAAGCCATTATTCATGTGAATATGTTTTGCTTTTTCCATAACTGGGTCAGTAATATTAAAATAACCTTTGTTTCCTGTGCAGGAAAAGTATGCTTAGTGATAACTGCTTTTAAGCTTAATTTTATAAAGCCTATTTTGCTATATTTATTGCATAGGAAGGAAATGTATTTTTCAATCAAGTAGGATCATTGATATTAAATCAAATTGAACAATTCATTTTGTTGTTTTCCTTTTGTTGGAGTCTTTCAGTGAGGAGGCTGAGTGTTCGTAAAGTGAATGTCAAACGAGTAAGGCGCATTTCCTTTATTACTGTGACAAAAGATTTCTTTGACATGAAAGCTCATTTAGATCTAAAGCTTTTTCATGGTCTTCAATCTTTCGGAGCCTCAAGTCATCGGGGAAAATAGCTGAGAAAGCCATATACCCAACTCCTGCCCCAGCAACCACTGCAACCCCAAGCCAAACATTATACGTCATAACTATTAACATCAGCACATATCCCACTAGCACTTGTAGCGTGTGAAGACACGCCTGCAATGTGTGAATTTTAATTCTCCATCTTTGGCTGCAAAGAAAAGAAAAGGGGAAGAAGGTCACTGACGTGAATCAAAAGCTCGTAATCGTTAGGACTCAATGATGTTCTCTCATGAGGAGGGAGGAGGAGTGAGGAGGCGCTGCCAGGGGCATGTTTCCGTAGCTATATTTAAGCAAGAGGAAGCGTTAACAACGGCGTGTTCGTTCTGTTTCTGGTTTTTATTTTCTCAATCGGCCAGGTTCGCTAATCACGTTGTCTGTTCCTGTTTTATGTGTATGTATTTATTTTCAATGAAGGACAGATAAAACTTTCGATGACAAGTGATCAAGAAAGAAAGTCATGCTCACCTCCTGTTCGGGAATCTAACAAATAGTTGTTGTAGGGTTTCTTTATTGCTACATGCGTCCTCAGGATCTGTAACATCTAAACTTGTTGACGTTGAATGACAGATGTCTTTGAATAAGAGACGGAGAGGTCTGCAAACCAGCCATTGCCTGAATATTTTGAGGCCCTCGTACAGAGCAGCAACTAGAACTGTGACGAAAAAAGCTCCTATAAGAACTGAAACAGAAAGGTGAAAACTCATTAACACCGAAAAAACTGTCAGAAACAATATTTCCTGAGACTTTGACTGCGCAGAAGTAATCAACAAGAACGAACAAGGTTTTACTCTCTGACTCGGACTGGGCTCAAGTCTGAGTCCTTTTTCGGCGCATGGCACCCAGTAAGCGTTTGTTTGTTTGTCTGTTAGAGAACTGATGATTTTATGTGATCATTGGTATTTTTTGCAATTGGCCACCTCTGGTCTTTCAAGTAATGTGGTGTTAAAAACTGATTTGAAAACGTAAATTACTCACCGTAAAGGGTAAAAAAGCTGACGTTTCGAGCGTTAGCCCTTCGCAATCGCTCTGACAAAGGGATAACGCTCGAAACGTCAGCTTTTTTACCCTTTACGGTGGCTAATTTACGTTTTCAACTCAGTTGTTAACACTACATTACCTGCTATACTCTCCCACCGACGCAGCACCACAATTTCTTTAGAAACTTACTCCTTTATTCATCTGGTCTTTCCAGGGTCAGTTTGTCACGTGTCATCAAACGCCACGTAATTTAGACATCAAGCGAAAGAATCATATTCAGATCTTAACGGTTTGAGAAGTTAACCACTCAAACATTGTGAAAGAAGACTGCGTAAAAGGCTATCATACCTTCGATTGAATTAAGCTTCCAGTCTTGAAGTAAGAGTGTTCCTTCGGTCCTCAAATGAAACACATTATCCTAAAGGACGCGATTGGAGAAAAAAATAAATTTTTGATGATTGAACAAGTCAACGCCTTCATCTTTGCCTAAAACTCATCGAAATCTCATCACGCTTTCTTAAAAGATTGCAGGCCAATTCCCGTTTCAACAGGAAGCACGATTAGTCAGAAAATAATTTCGTTCCCGAAGGGCTTTTCCCTTCAAATCTTTCGTGAGGAAAAACATCATAGGGACATCAGAGTAGATTTTTTTTTTATGGCGCAATAACTGTAAACGCGACATAAGTTCGTAAGAGGCGCTGTGAAACCTGATAGGCCATGAAAACGTGCTTGTTGCGGGGGGAAGGGAGATAGAGGATGGGGGAGAGAGGGAGCCATGGAGAAAGACAGGGCGATGATTAGCCTATGAAAAATTGCAAGTTTTTACCAGAGGACAGCGATAGTGGCAGTTAAATAAAAAAATGTCTTTTCTATGCTATGCAACAATCTCCTAGCTTATCTTTAACTGTAATGTTTGTACTTTGACACTTGCTTATTTAAGGCGAAAAAGAGCTGATAGGTATTATGGTCTTCATGACAACAATCTTGAATAGGGCAACTACGCAAATAAACTGCGATTTAAAGAGATGAAACCATTGTTCCCATAATTTCTTTTAGAATTTTGCATACTAAAAAGTTATTTGTGCCAATAGCTCCCTTTAAATGATTTTCTTTACAATACTGTTGATTAACATACCACTAAAAACTTTTTTTCGAAGACCCTGAGACATTTCTTAACCGCTCCATGGCAGATAAGGCATTATTTATTCCATAATCAGTTCCTCAATACTGTTACAGTTTCTCTCAGTCTCAATATCAAATGTAAATCTGATGTTCCGCAGTTGTCTTTTGCGAACGTTTTGATGGGCGAATTTGTGGGAGTGATACAATTATATTGTTGCCTGACAATAATATTTCGCCCGAACGAATCGCTATTTTAGAAGACTGTTTTCTTAATTTCTCCCTCTGCTTCCTGTAGAATGCGAGAACAGCGGTCTAGTATATCCTCTATCAAGTGCCTGAGCAAATCAAGCAAAACCCGACTAAATCGAAAGGGGTGAAAGTCGTCGTTTCATCGAAGCCTTTCGAAAAAGAAAATTAACCAAACTTCGTCTTATAGATAGATTCTTGATATTTTTGTTCGAGATCAGATTTATTACTGCCAAATTTACATTGAGCCAGGTAATTAATATGAATAAACCTGCTATTATTTCCTGAAAAAAGAAATAAAAAATATTATAACTTTAATTCAGTGTTGATCAAAACAAAACTGTTTATTCTCAATGCCTTCAATCCAGAGTGGCTCAGAACCTCTGCAAATGATTTCGGCACCAAACGAATTTTGATCCTTGAAAGTACGCGTAATTTAAGAAGTAATTTCAGCGCGAT